TTTGTTCAATTCGCCGTTGTAGGGAGAACTAAAACATAATGCAAGTGATACACTGCGACGAAAATCCGCACAATCATGAAGCCATTACGTATTGTTGGATTAATTTTTTTTTTTTTTTTATTTCTTACACCTTTAGTCTGAAAATCGGAAAAAAATCCGAAAAAGGAGCAAAAACGATAAATAGTGAATAGGAAGTACGGTCAATATATTATAATGTTTTATTCTCTAAAATCAACACCTGCTGATCACAATATTTTCGAGTTGCATCCGGACGAATTATATACGTACTATAAGAAACCAATTTTATTACCTACTATTTATATATTAAACATCAATTCAACGCATCTACGGTACCGGTTTTCGGTGTAAATCGCATACAATACACATGCAAGTTTATCAGTATAATAATATTCAAAACGAATACATGTATTGCCTGTATAATAATGGAATAATGCCTGTATCTGCAATATGTGTACGCAAATGTTTATTATTCGAAGAGACCTGACAGGCGCGGATCCAGAAAATTTTGACAGGGGGTGCTAAAAAAAAAAAAGATTGTTACACCTTTCTATTTATTTAAATTAATATTTTCTATTTGATTTATTGGTGCTAACTTTTTTTTCATACATCAGTATTTATTAAATATAAACTTAAAAATAACAATAATTTCTTACATATATTGTAACTGTAATTTTCTTGGGTGTTTTTCATTGAATTCTTCAATAACTTCCTCTGGAGTAATTTTAATATCCCTATGAATATTAAGAAGCATAAGTCCATTTAATCTATCCTCTCCTATTGTTGATCTTAAATATGTTTTTGTTTGTCGAAGTGAGGAAAATATTCTTTCTGCGGTGCAAGTGGTAATTGGTATAACTCAAATAATTTTTAGCAATTCCTTTATATTAGGATAAAATTCAGATGCATGAGTCAAAGCTTCTATAGCAGTTTTAGGTTTATCTAATTGGGATTTCCAAAATTGTTTCCACAAAGTAACTTCACCTCTAACCTCTTCTATCGAGCCAATTAGATCATCGATATAAAATTTGGCCGATTTAATAATTTTTTCGATATCTGTATCTTCAAGTAGGAAAAATGGTATTAAATATTGTAAATACATAATCGTTTCGTGTCCGTGACCTAAAAATCTATTTTTGATATCTGATATTAAATTATTTAAATTCCGATAACGGAATAACCGATATTATTTATTATTATTATTATTATTATTATTTTGAAAAATAAGAAATAACATAATTTATAATATAAATTTATTTTGTTGGTGGCCAAAGCGACAGGGGGTGCCCGAGCACCCATAGCCCCCCCCCCCCTGAATCCGCGCCTGAGACCTGACAACATTCATCTAACCGTCTGACGGGAAAATAAAAATTCGTCGTCTCCTCGTACTTAAAATACAAGTGGTCTACAGAAACGATTTTCCGTATTTATTTCGCCAAAAGAAAACCTCGGTACGACAAGGAACGTAACTTTAGACGTTTTTTTTAATATTTCGACAAATGATAACGTGAACTGTCAATAAAAATAAACATCTACATGCTAGTGCCGGGTAATCACTACAACGATATATATCATAGCTGAATTACATCGATTTGTCCACAAAACGGCATTTCAAACTGACAAGGCTGAACCGCATCGTCTGACGGGACGAACGAAATAAAATAATCGAAATGCGTTACGTCATCAACGTGATTGTTTATTGAATTATGGCGGGTGTAAATAGTATGTATAGGACATATAAAACTGGTTGAAAAGGAATAGATACTATTTATACTATATATATATGGAATAGGTACATCTGCAACAATAAAATTTTACCAAAAAACTGACAGTTAAGTGTCAAATAATATAACATATATGTGAATGTATGTAACTTGATCATCACAAGGGCTAAAACTCGAATTTATACGTCATAAGTACGGTACGAGTTTTGTGGATACCATTTTTTTACATGGCTCAAACTTGGACAACTGTCAACCCGAAACAATATCAAGTATGCGGTATACCTCATGGAATTTTTTATTGTTACTGTGTTATTTCGATATCTGTATCTCGAACACAAATATAGTTAAAAATCATCGGCTAACAATCGTATGATATTCATACATTATAACTCCAATAACTTTTTTAAATTATTATCTTTACTATTCTGTAATATTTCTTGTTGTATTCAACTAAGATATTTAGATTAGAAACATAGAATCATGACATAAAATTTATTAAATCGCAGGATTTTAAATAACATTTTTTTTTCGATTATCACCAACAAAAATATTTTCCTCGGCATAAAGAAAAATATTATGAAAATGCTTAATGCTTAATCTAGCTTAATCTCGTAAAAATTTTCAAATAAAGGTACTAACCCGACAACGGTGGGGTAGTGAACTCCATTCTTGATTGACAATGTCTTTGAAGAAGTCTCGTTTTTACAGAAAATGGTGTGTCCAGTAGTTATACAGTAGATTATACGAATATTATACACACTTCTGTAGTTATTACAAAGAAGTACGCAGTAGTATTCATGTGTCATTTATTAAAATTGAATAATGCAATATGCTTAATAAGCATTGCTTATGTATTATTACGAGCGTATCAACTGTCATATATTTTTTCTTTTTTGTCTTGTGCGACTAATTCAATGGCACGTGTAGGGAAAACCAAATATTTTTAAAATATTTATCAGGGCTACATGGTACATATGAAAAATAATGTTATAATAAACGTTACGTTAAATTTAGTTTTCTTAAAATATACAACAGGATCGTTTTCATATCTTCCATATTTTCACCCAACCTCGTTTTCTGTATTATTGTTTTCGTTAGGTGCATTCTCATTATAAAATCATATATATATATATATATATATATATATTATACAGGTATAATAAATAATAAAACATTATAGTTATCAACATTTTACATATTTTCAATCTACAGCTATAAAACTATAAACTAATACAGATCACACGTGTTACTCGATCAACTAACAAACTCGAATTGGATTATTATATACTTTTATATCGTATTCAGCATATATATTTTACACAGAATTACCTAATATACTTAACGAGGTTGTGATTGAGATGTTGGTGAGGTAGTTTACAATATTTATATGTTAAAGCTAGATAAATGGTGAAATTATTGCATTTATAATTCGCATAAAGACATTTTTCAAAACATGAATCATGTCATTTCATAGCAGTTTGTTTCTTATATGCAAATTGTTATGTAGTAATATATTAAAATGTTGATAATTTATAACATCAAAATTATAACTACTGTTTTTAGGCACAATTACTAATTACTAATTTACAACTGAAACCTGATATAACGTAACACAGTATCTCATCCATACTCTTAGTCAGTATCGTTCGATTCGTAACTCTTTTCAGACTTTGATTTTTTGAAAAATGCTCCAACTTAATAAGATGTGTGTCATATACAAAATCAAATAACGTACGTAAAAAAATAAACACACAACTTGAATTAAGATAACGCTTAAAACAACACATATGTTTCCGAAGTAGTCGAGTCATACTACTACAACAAAAGTCCTCTTAATTTACACGTCTTTTTCCTTTTATAAATTCGCTTAACCTAATTAAACGTAATTATTGCCTACATACTAGTTAACAATATTATTTTACAATTGATTATTATATTCTAAAATGTTATGTTTAACTATTTCTTATTGGAACATAAATATACAGCAATTTTTAATGTAATTTTATGCTTCCCGCGTTCTGGTATTTTACCAAAATATATTTATATTACATAGGATTGGATTTCAATTTAATAACAATAATAAAGTAAATTTTTAAAATCAATTAAGGTTTGTATTTTTCACTCATATATACCAAATCGCTCAGAAGTCACAGATTTTATTGACAAAATACATAATTCGGTATTTAGATAAGAATATATTAAAGTGAAGTTTCTGAATACCTTGAAGTCGATATTGACTTTATATTGTAAGTTAATCAACGAGGCCAGATAACATAATAGTTTATAGTGTATTACACATTGGTCGTGACGAATAATGATAACGAAGAACTCACACTATCATACCTCTTAGTCGTAGTGGACATTTTGTTATCACCTACGGTGGACGTCTTGCCAAGTACAGTAAAACCTCGACAAGATGGAAACTCCATTAATACAGAAAATTTCTTTTGTCCCGTTTCAAATACATAATAAATTCATTCCGCCAATATGGAAATCTCACTAAGCCGAACAGATTTTCGTATTAAAATTAACTAAAAACTCGCTAAGGCAGAAATATAACATGAAAATTCAAACTTAAAGTTACCATCAATTTTATAACCGTATTGTCGATATCCACGTCCAGACCCAAAATATCTTTGTTGTTGTCTGCTCTTTGTTCTTTGTCATTGATGTTGACCCAGAAGAATTTCATCACTTTTACGACGAACTTGAGACCCAAAAAACCTATGATTCGGTTATATCATTAGTTAAGAATCAAGGTGAAAAGGACGAAGAGACTGGTAACGAAAAAAACTATAAAGAACCAGGAAATCTGATAAAAGACTACAAAACTGCTATCTGCTATCTCGAATTACTACGAAAATTCTCTCAAACAGTGTCTAATACTGAGTTTTTGGATTTTACTTTAATATCCAACGTGTGTGTAGAACGTGATGCTTTTGAAATAAAAATCAAAAATTGATTACCAATTTTTTCCAAAAAAATATCAATTGTATCATGTATAATAATAATTTTAAATTTTTAAACACGGAATGATGGTGCGGTCCAAAGTGATTCCATCTTATTGAGGTTTAACTTTATTATAATACCTTATCCAATTCAATTACGTTCGTGGCGCGAAATATATGGTAAAAGTGATAATAGTTTAATTCGATCGAATTTTTAAATTTATTTTTCAGCTCTTTTCGCTCTCGTGCGCTTTGTTCCGCGGATCGTCCTGTGTATACTTATTAAAACGGTTGAATGTCGTGTATACAGGTGTTACTGGCAGTAGGCCGAGGACTAGGCCGACCCGAAGCACCGCTGACCGGATTCGGTGGCGGCGGCGGAGGATTTCCCGGGCTGACGTTGGACAGCTACGCGGCACCGATCAGCGGCGGCAGCAGCAGCGGACCGTATCCGAGCGCAGGGCCGCCCCCGCAGTACGGGCCGCCGCAGCAGGCGCCAGTCATACACAAACACGTGTACGTGCACGTGCCACCTCCGGAACCCACGTACTACGCACCCAAGAAGCCGGTGCAACCGCCTCCGCCACCGCAGAAGCACTACAAGATCGTGTTCATCAAGGCCCCTACGCCGCCCCCGCCTACCGTCCCTGACATACCGGCGATCCCGCCGCCCGCCGAGCAGAAGACTCTGATCTACGTGCTAGTCAAGAAGCCGGATGAGGCCCCGGAGATACACATCCCCACGCCCGCACCCACGCAGCCGTCCAAACCGGAAGTGTACTTCATCAGATACAAAACACAGGTAAACAGCGCTAGCGCAGAACAACGAAGGCTCTACACGGTATTCGCGTTCTGTGGAAAGGACGCGCTTATGTAGCAGAGGGTCGTGTCCTCGGGGTAGAATTTTAACTCAACTCTCGAAACCGATCGCCTACCTGCACCAGTTTTTCATGTGTTTCTGATTCAGAGTTCGGATTAGATGAAATAATCCATAACATTTATCAATTCGTTCCCAAATTGATTGTATTGAATTGTGTTGTTCATAATTTTTACATTATAACTATGATAAAACTAACCGATGTCCTGAGCCAATAGGGGGGAAACTCCTCTGCGAACCCTAAAGTTCATCACTGATAGCTGGTTTCACAATGATCAAATGTTGTATCATGTATCGCAGAAGAACGCACTACGTCGTAACAGAATTGTTTTCAATTTCGGCGCCACTGGTCCCAAGTCACTACAACCGAGTGCGGGCGTAAGATTTATGCACGTCATCGGTTAAACGATTTCCCTCTCGGACGTACGACCGATGACGTTTTTTTATTTTATTTTTACATTTTTCTTTAAACAACTGCGGACACGAAATGATGCACATAAAGCGTACAAAAAATATTGCACTAGCGGACGTAGAGGCCGTGTTGATTCCGACGGGGATAACACGTTCAAACAGCAGCGCTGATGGTTCGTCTTCGGGCTCGCGTTGAAGAAGAAAAAAAAGCGTCTGCCCGAGTATTTCCGATCGCGTTCGTAATAACCATGAGCATGTAGACGAGGAAACCATCGACGTTGCAACGAAACGCGCGTCAAAGGATCGCAGTCCGCAGGGACTGTACACGTGTTCTGCTCCAGTTTTTCGCGACGTTCGGTTACGTAACATTAGAACCGATAAATGCGGCACGATAATAACGCGGTGCTATTATATATTAGTGGGTGGGAATTATCGTTCCTGTTATGGAATCGTTCCAATCGGTACGGCGTTACAATAAAGTACCGATTTTCCAAAACACTCGTTACATCGGTACATTTTTTTTTTAGTTTTATTTTTTATTTTATTTTTTTGTTGCACGGCCGGCGACCGTTGTATCGAGACAACTCGTAACCAGTCAACCGCCGTCGGTGTTACCTACTGCTGTACTCGAACAGATATCACGATATTTTGTTTAATTTATCGTCAGACGTGCCACAAAATACATCAATATAGCGCAAATATAGCGGGTCCAATCGCTGGATTCCCAACCGCTGAACAGACCGAACTGTTGTCGATCGTAATTACCTGACCACCACGGCACGGTCCACCGTTACTCGTTCCTTCTGACCACTTTGGGCCTAACGCCTAATAACTGGGGCCTGGCAGTAGGCACCGCCGATGACATAGGCGTCACTTAAGGGTATCGAGGGATATCTTTGCTATCCCAGAAATTTTTGTGGTGTAGCATGTGTATCTTTTTGCTACCCCAAACAAAGTCATAAATTTTAAAAATACATTCGATGTTTATTATTCAAGCGTATACATCGACTATATTATTGTGATTGTATCCAAAATAATTATATTTTGTGAAAAGTCCAATACAGATGAAAAGAAAGTGTATACACTAAAGGTTATGCCAAGATTTATGTAGAAGAGGTTAGCTAGTTATCATATTAAACCTATAAAAAATAATTTTTTTCACTTTCTAAAAATAAACTTTGCTACCCCAAAATTTAGACTCTAGTGACGCCCAATGTCACTGTTGTACCGACGGAACGGTCAACAAGTGCAATCGTCCGTACTCGTTCCTTTAATGTCACTCTCTGTAACGATTACAGGAGTACCGACCTAGTCACACTATAAGTAGCACACTATTAGCCCACGTGTAGTGTCGTCGCGATCCCGTCCGTCCACGTGCCGCGGTAACTCGTGCCGCATCTTTCCGGATAATGCGACATGACTGCGATCGTTGTTGTGTTAAAGCGCACCCGATAGATATTTTGTAATAATATTGTAACTGTTGCGGTTCGGAAAAAAAAAACATTGTTACGATTACAAAATATGCGCGCGAAGTGTACTACATACGATACGTGCTAATTGTGTTGGGCGATAAGCGGGTATAGGAAAAATTCAAAAACGCTAACGAGCCACTATACCGAACGCCGCGCTATTACCGTTGTAACGCGTAACGGTAGGTGTACCACGACAACGTGCAACAAATTAATGCAGTTTGTGTTTAACGACGCGGAATGATCTACAGGACCGCGCGAGCGTATACCTGTTACCTGTTCGTGATGTACATTCAATTTTCTTATGGTGTGGAGAGAGGAGGGGGATTTTGTATTCATGGTTTTTATGTCAATATCAAACGTCTATTTTGTTACATGACCTCGGAAGAAATATTCATCTTTTTGTGATTCCACCATAGTTGATAAACACTAAATTTTATACGCACGTTAAAATATTCATGATGTAAATATTTTTCATTTTAACCATTCAAAAACTGAATGGTTTTTTTTTTTAGCCCTTGGGGAGTGAATTTATCTCGAACCTTCCCTCCTCCTATAACATATATATGCCAAGGATAATATAGAAGTACAAGATACAACTCACTTGAACTCTGCGGATAACCACCAAAAATTATCCTGTACCCATTGGTGTCTAATCGAAAAATATACGAACGCAATTTGCTCATATTTTTAATAAATAACCACCCAAGTTCGTATTGTAACATTCACGTATCATGATATACGGTACACACCACTTTATTACTCATTATTTAAGCCACAATCAATTATCAATACACCTGGTTGCACACCAGACAATAACTTTGATCGAAAGCTTGTCTAATGCTACTTTGTCCGTTTTATTTGTACACACTATTAAAGCCATGATAAATTCGGTTGGTGAAAATAATGACATGATTAAATTTAGCAGGATTTGAGTAATATAATTTCCGATAAATTATCGATGATATATTATTATGATCTATTTTGAAATACATCCAAATCAAATAAAATGTTGAAACCCGAATACAATATGCTAGTTTCGCTAAGAATCTAAAACTTGAGTCGTAGGATTTGATCGTATAGCAACGATTTAAGTTACAATCCACTCTACACGAAGATATGATATAAAGAAATCATCCCCGTTACAGACTCTGGTAATTTATTGATTTTTTCATTTTTTACAGAAACAAGAGGGCTACCCTAACTCGGTGGCGTCCGAATACGGAGCACCGGCCAATCCGTCTCCTTCCATCCCGTCCGACACATACGGTTCCCCGTCACCATCCACCGGTTACGGTGCGCCCAGCGGTCCAGGCAGTCTGTACTGATGGAACGACCCGGACACGACGAGTACCGAGAAGACGTGCAACGTTTGCACTCGATCCGGAGTGAACATGATGAATAATTAAAAAAATTAAATAAAAAAAAAAAACACCTGCAACCCAAGAATTATGATAAAATGTAAAAATCTCACATTTACTTTTAAATATAAATATGTAATGTTATCGTTACAATACTATAATCAACTATGTATTGATACGTATCCTGTATTATCTGTTCGGTATGGCGGAAAAAAAGCATATACACATATACACACATACATCCCATTCGGCACAATATCGTTACGTTATTTATTGTATTTTATTTTGTTTAGAAATCTAAAAAACGTATTTTCTTATCAGTGTTGCCATAAAAAAAACCGTTGTATGCAGGTACGCAAAAAACACCAGAACTTCATAACAATATCGTATACAATATAGCGTATTTTAAGTACACACACTCGCACATACGTAATCACGTATTATATACATATAGGTATAACATCCCGGCACGCGAAACCCCGACCTCACTCATTACCATACAAAATAAACCGATTTTTATAACGGCGTAAAAGGGACTGGTAAAAACTCATCGTTCGTTCAGATGCATCTAGTGGTATCCAAGTACAATTACGTGTATTTCTCTTTAGGAAGCTCTGTTGTATCATCCCATTAGTTGTGTTTCCCTTTATGAATGTGTGTGTGCGCGTGCGCGTAAATCATAAGAGGAATAAAAAATAAACGGAATAATTGTTATTATTATTCGGGACGCAATATGTTTATAATATGCATTCACGTTAAGGCACGTTTATTATTGTACATTACTCACATCACGTTTTCCCAAAAATCTCACTTGCCATTCGCCGTCTAATGCAGTTAAGAACGCAACAAATTTTTTCTTTAATCCTTTACACACCTCGTACCACGACAACGCGTTTTCTTCGACAGATACGGTACACCTGCACGTGCATCAGATCGCACCCGATTAAACAATATCATAATTGTAATAAGTTGAACAACATTATACTTCACCACTGCGAGAGTTACTAACGTAATCATTCCTGCATTCTATTGCAATTCTATTAAAATAATAATGTGTAATATGCACAAAATTATTATCTATACACACACACACACACACACACACACACACTAACTTTCTCTCGGGTGCGCGTACGGCATGTATCTACACATAGTCACAAACTGTTCAGAATTCAAAATTTTCGTCAAACAAATTATGCAATCGCGTTTTTTACACTGCCGGATATCGGCGTCCGGACACGATACACAATTATAATACACGCGCGACGCATATTATTGCAATGGTAAAATAAAAAGAAATTCCAAAGATGAAACTTGCGCGTGTATCATACAACGTGGTGCTAAGCTGTAACACGTTAAACACCAAATAAACCACACTGCCCCAATACTCTCTTTAAGTAACTAAAAATCATGGTTTTTATTTTTTATTTTATATATATATATATATATATATATATATATATATATAAATATACATATCTATATAAACACATTCATAAGACATTCACAATATAATTATACTTGTATCAAACTGTTAAACTATTATATTTTATGTTTTTATTATTAATAACATAATATTATTATTATTATTATTATTATTATTATTATTATTGTACATAATCATATTGTTATTATATATATTATCATGTATATTTATTATGCACATTTGTTTAATATACTTCTATTACTTTAATATGCGTCCGTGTTAAAATCTCTGAAAAAAATATATCATCATATCCTATATTATAATGAGCGCATTATATAAAATATATTAAAATACAATATTTTGTATATATTCATATAACTATTATATAACACATAGATGATCTAATGGTTCAGATAACACGTCCCCTGGATATTAAAGATGTTTAAGATATATTTTCTTAAGTCATTTCGAAAGGAAATAACGAATTAAATTCTAATCCTAACAACAACAAAAATCAAAACATAATATTTTTATTTGAATGAAAGATTTCGTGATAAGATAATACTCATGGGATGGCCTGTAGAATGTATAGCATACCTACATATCAGTATTTCACTGCTCGTTCCCTTCAGAACATACAAATCTGTTTAATACAGTAACAGTTTTCAAAGTTCTAATACAACACATACATATTTTTATGCATAATATCATTTTAAATTATATTATTATAACACACAGGATATTTCATAGTAAACATTCGTTACACTACGTTTATAAAAATGTTTATAATCAAAATAAACATAATACTCACATACCGAGTAATATATCTATTAATCGTTTAAACAATTAAGTTATAATTGTGATAAATTATTATTTATCAAATATATTATTGAACTTTGTAAAGTGTTAACGCGTAAAAAGCACATAAATATCTATAGGTCATATACGGTTATTCCTTTATATGTTTTTAATTGTTTTCAATTTTTTTTTTTTTTTTTTTTGATTCTGAGTAATTTTTTGCAACATATGAGTTTTATGTTTGTTTTTTATGTACCTACGTGTACACGATTTCAACTATTGCTCCAATCATCATATACTTGAACACGGACAATTCTTTACATCGCCAAGGAGTATGTGGTAAATTAATAGTTTTTTCATTTTCTCTATGATATCCTAATCTTTTCATCCATCGCGTTTGGTAGGTTACCATTACAAACCAGTGGTTCTCAAATTAATGTAATGCCAAGTGCGAGCAATGACGGGTTAATCTTACAGACTTCTATATTAACTTCTATATTTGTATGTAAGTCTGTGGTTTATATTTAGAAAGATGTTATGTTAAACATTGAAAAAATAAAAAGATTAAACCAATCAATGGAAAATTGTCTACAACACAAAAATAGCCAATGTAGTCGGTTCCATAGTTTCAGAAAGAAGTTTTACGTTTATATAGTTATTTAACATATTCATATACATATATATATATTATAAATCCGTGTACTACTCGCCTGAACTAGAATGGATAGTAAAATAAATAAATTTAAACACATTAAGCAATAATATAAAAATTACTACACATGATATAATATATATATAGGTGTAAAAATCTAGTAATGACACGTTTTAATATTTTTAAATAATATTAATAGATATTTAGGATACTAAATTACATTTGAGTTGAGTTATTTCGGAGGTGGCAAGAACGTTGAGAAATAGGTCAAAAATCGCATAAATCTCATACATAGTAAAATGTCAATTCAATACGTAAACAATAATTATAAAAAAAACTATTTGACATTGTTCGTGCACTTATTTTTCGACTATTAATTGACTCTTGTAAACTTGGCACCGCAACTTAAGTAATCAATATTCAAACTAATCTAACAATTTCAATAATGGGTTGTTAGACATTGTAAAATAACTTTTAAAGTGTATTAGACTTAATTTTAGCTGTTAAGTAAATTTCAGTTTTGTACTGCTAACTTCACTTTGAGATTCCCCGTTGCTAGTTTGACCTCATTAAAATTCTTTACGCCAAACGAGGACAAAAATATATGATTCTAAAATAATCGAAAAAAAATCTCCGGGTTCCGACTCAATAACCTCAGAAGTTACAGAAAGTCTACCTAAAATAACAAACATTTTCCTAACACATGTAATTAATGCAATGTTGAGATAATCTTATTTCCCAACACTGTGGTAGTTCACACACAGCAATTCTTGCAAAGCCAAGTAAACCTCATAACCCACCACGTTTATATAGACCTATAATCTTCTCAATCTTCTCAAAAAGTTATAAAAAAAAAATTATTATACAACAAAATATCAAATATCCACTATGGTTGCCATAAATTATACATACTCCCTATATCCCCACTTTGGTTTTCGAGCCAAACAAAGTACAGTACGCTAAGCAAACAGATTGGTTGATGTTGTATCTAATTCATTTAAGCCAGTGATTCCCAACCTAGGGGGCGCGCCCCTCTTGGAGGGCATATACACATCGCTGGGGAAGCGCGAGCGGTCATCACAAATTAAAATTTTTATTTATCAAATTTTATTATATTTAAAATGAAAAGAAAAAATGAAAAATTAATAAAGACTGGTTATCGTTATAGATTATAGGGTTGTTAAAGTCGATAAAGTAATCGATAAAGATTAGAAGTGTTTAGCCGTAGTGCACCATGCCACATCGTCCGTAAATTAATTAGTACGATAAGAGAAAGCCAGGGGAAAAAACTATTAGATTAGTTTAGACGCGATTTAGTTTTATTTTGCAGTTGCTCAGTGCACGTCAGTGTCATAGTACGTAGTCGTCGCGAGTGCACGTATATCAAAGTAATGGCTCCTCCGAAAATAAGAACATATATCGATGATTATGTCAAATTTGGTTTTACGTTTATTGAAAAAGATGGTGTCCAAAAGCCTCAGTGTGTTATTTGTCACATTGTATTAAGTAACGATGCCCTCCGACCTAGTCGACTAGAACGACATTTAACCACAGCTCATCCGATGCTAAAAGGAAAACCTAAAGAGTTTTTTGTTGCTAAAAAAAATTCTTTAAGTAAAATTAAAATTGACCATACCGGAGAGTTTCAACAGAATAATAAAAAAAATGTTGAAGCTTCATATCATATCGCCTTCATGGTGGCTCAGCAAAAGAAACCCCATACCTTAGGTGAAACATTAATTAAACCTAGCATACTTAAAGCTGTTGAAATAGTACTTGGTGAAGAAAACAAAAGGAAAATAGCTCAAATATCTCTTTCAGATAATACAGTGAAACGACGTATAGATGAATTAGCTTTGGACATTAAAAATCAGTTGATTCATAAATTAAAACATTCCGTATTCTTTGCAATCCAATGTGATGAATCAACTGATGTGGCCAATTGTTGCCAGCTATTAGTTTACTGCCGTTTTATAAATGAACAGCCCATCGCAGAACTTCTATTTTCCCAGGCTTTAAATTCCACCTCAAAAGGCAGCGACGTTTTATCTACCATTGACATATTTTTTGATCAAAATGGTTTGTCTTGGAAAAATGTTGTAGGTGTCTGTACGGATGGTGCTCCTGCAATGCTAGGGTCAAGATCGGGTTTTGTAAGCCTAGCAAAAAATAAAAACCCGTCAATAATCGGTTCTTATTGTGTAATACACCGACAAGCTTTAGCAGCAAAAACGCTGCCATCTGAACTTAAAAATGTACTTGAAGTATGTATAAAAGTTGTTATATATAGACCTAGCGGTCCTCAATCTTACAAACATAATACAAACCGCAGCATGGTCGGCTACTAATACAATGCCAGCACCTCCTTCTCCAAGCTCACTTCCTGAATATATACGTAATAAAATTGTAGAAAAAAGAAGAGCAAGAGCTCTATACCAACGCACGCGCTTACCTTCCCATAAACTTAATTACAATAAACTAGCTAATTCACTAAAAAAAACTGCTCACTGAATTTAAGTCAAACATATGGCAAAATCAATTAATGAAATTCACTTCCTTAGACGGTAGCCTATAGAGAGAAACAAAACAAATACTTCGCTGTAAATTTCCAAATCTCCCTATTAAAAAACCAGATGGTAGCTTAGCTACTTCGGATATCGAAAAAGCTGAACTTTTTAAGGATCATCTTGCTAATACCTTTCAACCACACGCTGATATCATAGACGTTGAAAACATGAATCAAGTCGAAACGTTCTTAAACACCCCCCCTTCCAGTGTCTCTCCCAGTCAAGTCATTTACACCTAATGATGTAAAATATGCTATACAAAAATATGCTCTAAAAAAATCACCAGGCTACGATTGCATTACTGCGAAAGTAGCCAGATCCCTTCCAACTAGAGCCATAGTTCACATCACTCATATATTTAATGCCTCACTCAGATTTTCCTATTTTCCACTACTTTGGAAATTCGCAACTATAATCTTATTTCCAAAACCAAACAAACCACCTGACCTACCTACCTTCATCACACCGTCCAATCAGCCTTCTCCCTCTTTTCGGAAAAATAATGGAACGGTTAATTCTGAAACGAATCCTCCCGATAATTACTGACAAAAATATTCTTCCAAACACCCAATTTGGGTTTCGCGCTTCTCACTCGACTATTCATCAAATACACAGAGTCGTAGACTCCATTTCGTATTCCCTGGAAAAAAAACTGTTCTGCAATTGCGTGTTCCTAGACATCTCACAAGCTTTCGACCGCTTATAGCATGACGGGCTTTTGTATAAACTTAAGAAATTTATGCCTCCCACCTACTACTTATTAAATCCTATCTAACTGATCGCCATTTTCAAATACGCTACAGTTCTGCGTTATCTGACGTAGCAGTTATCAAGGCTGGTGTTCCCCAAGGGGGCATTTTGTCTCCTATTCTGTACAATATCTTCGCTTCTGATCAACCAACTACCTCCAATACATCCGTAGCAGACTACGCTGACGACAAAGCAATAATATCTATTGCCAATGACTCACTCATAGCATCATACAATCTCCAAACTCACCTTAACTACATGGAAAAATGGTTTACTAACTGGTGATTCAAAGTAAGCCAAAGCAAATCTATACATACTACCTTCACCCTCAAACATGCTTCCTGTCCCACAGATTTTCTATACGGTATTCCTATCCCTTTCTCTCCAAAGATCAAATATCTCGGGATCACTCTCGACCAAAGGTTAACATGGGCTCATCACATCAAAATCAAAAGATTAGCACTAAATCATCGTCTTCGTATCCTCAAACCCTTAATAAGCAATAACTATACCCCCATTAAAACCAAAATTCTGATCTACAAAACACTTCTCAAACCCATTTGGGCATACGGACTCCAACTCTGGGGAAACGCTAAAAAGTCTAACATACTGAAGATTCAAACATTTCAAAATATCGCTCTCCGAAAAATAATGAACGCACCACCCTACGTGTCTAATCACACCCTTCATACTGACACCAACTCAAAACAATTAACGAAGCCAAAATGTATTATAAAAGATTCTACTCCAAACTAATTAATCACCCTAAAGAGCTAATAAAAAACTTATCTACTCCTTCCATATCTGGTAATCCCCCTAGACACCTGAAGCGTAAATGGTGCCGTGATCTCTTAAGTTAAGCTTTAAAAAAAAATAAAAATTAAAAAAAAAAAATTATTAAAAAAAATCCATAGAAAGTGCCATCGATGGGTGGCTTCTTTCATCAAATCTCCATGTCAATCTTTTTGTAACTCTCCTCATATATGCTTATTGTGTCTAGTCGATACAGATTGTGTATTACGTTTAAAATTAAAAAAAAAAAAAAAAATGTTTTTTTTATTTCTATAATGACCGTTAACATAAGTTGTATCAAAGTACGTAAGAATTTGATCAGCATCTTGGTTATGAAATTTTTCATATAAAATTTCCATACCTAAAACACAACCACAATCTACATTTAACTATTTGTGAACCAAAAAAGTTATATTACTCATAGGTATACATACCTTTTTTGACATAATTGACTGGTAAAAATGCAAGACCAGTTATCATTGTAATATCTTGTTGAAATTGTTTGTCTTCTTTATATTTTTTGACTAGCCCACACTCTTGGATTTTGCGCCATACTGAATGACACAGGTGAAAATAGCATCAGTGAATTTTTAATTTTGGTAGTACTTTTTCAATTGCAAGAATGACAGCTTTTTCAGTCTATTGTTATTTGTACCAATTCACGTTTTGGACATTTTTCACAAATAACAGAAAGCATTTCGGTATAAATTTGTTTTGTTTTATTTTGAAGAAGTATATACACCAAAGGAATTGTTGTCGAGCCCATTTTACCATGAATAATATAAACTTGATTAAAGCCTGTAGGCGCAGTTGAAAATGTTCCATCCATGTACCAATATGTTGACGTTTTTAATATTTGCAGACTTTCAGGAGATGAAAAAATTATAATTTTATTTTCATTATTTTCATTGTCGAATAATAAAAATGGCTGAGGATTTTCACCTCCTGTTGTTGCCCATATACCAATAACTTTCTACTCATTTACTGTTACTAAGGGTGGATAAGATGCATTTTTAACTCTTCTTAAACTTCTTTTTACGCTGCTGCAGGCATTAACAATTTTGCTTCGTTAGATAAATTTATTACGGTTTTGGAAAATATAATAGAAGGTGGTTCAGAATTTTTTTTTGCATTATTTTTCATTGATGATCATGATTTTATTACCTCTACTTCAACTGGGCAGGCATTAGGATTATGGTCAGTTATAGAAACAATAACTTTAATATTGACATCAGTTGTAATACTTCCTTGACAATTATTTTCATTGTTTTTAGATTTTTTTACACAATTCCAATGTATACCCACTTTAACAAGTTTTTGTTTTACATAAACATAGTTCATAGGTCTATGGTAAATTGTCTTTCGTAAAGATTCGTTAACGGTTAACATGAAACTAATGTAATTTATTATACTTACAGATGGTAAATTACGTATAATTTTAATTACAATAATCATAATTGTGATAAATAAAATAATTTTTTTTCTATAAATAAATTCTGAGAACTTTTTCATCTTACTACGTATTCATTTAAAATTGGATAAAAACAAATATCTAATAACTTAAAATTAGGGTAGTTAATCATGACAGTTAAATAAATAATTTATCATATCAATTATATAACATTTATTCACAATAGTATAAAAAAAAAAGTTCACGTACATATTTCAACAATAGTTTTTTTTAATAAATCACACACTATTTTATGGTGGAAAATTATTTTTATTTTTAAATTAATAAAAATTAATAATATGAAGAGAATTGTAAAACACCAGGATGTTCTTCTGCAGATACGAGATCAACAACAAGCCTGAAAAAATAATTATAATAAACAATTAACAAAATAACAAGTAAAACTTACAAAATCATGTTATAAAAAATAATAGAAAAAAAGTTTGAAAGAAATTGAAGAAAATCAAAATCAAGTAGTGCCTAGGGAACATTACTGAAAATAATTATAATATTTGTTCATTGATATTATATCATATTTTGTTTTTTTTTTTTTTTTTTTAATGAAAACTTACAACCTGATATTACACTTCGGTATACTTGATAAAATATAATGATGGAATAAAAAATATATTAAGATTACCATCATGGGATTTTCAAACGTTGCCTATAAAAATACCTAAATATCAATTTCTATATTTTACATTAATCCAACCCTAAGAAGTCAAAAGAGGAACAACTTACGTTTAACATTAACATACGAGGAATAAAATAATATTAATAAATAGGCTCAGCACTAATAGGCACTTAAAATATGTACTAAAAACTACAATTAGTTCATATAGCAGATCAATCATCTATTATCTTGTATACTACAACTGCTACATCAATTGAGACAATTTACTATAAGCACAAGTAAAGAGACAAAAATGTAATGTCAATTCAATTGAAATTATCCAACTTAAATGTCATAATAAGAATCATAATCAATGAAAAATAATAGTCTTAATTTAAAAGATAAAATAAGCAATTAGCATAAATTCTAATGACAAGTTCAATACATTTTTTTCATTCAATAAAGAATATAATAAGAATGATGTTCAATAAAATATACATAATTATTTTCAGAAGTAACAATTTAAAGCTTAATTTTATACAAATTCTTTACAGGCAAAAAATGTTTGTCAGATAAGATGGTTTTAAATAATTATAATACATTTATAAATGCATTTATTATCGTTACAAATATTTAAAATAATATTAATTTTATAAATATTTTTTCACTAATATTAAATAATAATAAATATTGAAATGTAAAACATTATTAAATAAATATAACTAATTTAATACATACCTTAGTGCTTTTCCACTAGCTGAATTTGAATTGAAACTTATTTCTTCGGGGTGTGACATTAGATAATCAATCAACCATTTCAATCTATTTCTTACGAGCTAAAAATCATAAACCAGAAGAATAAATTTATCTTAGAAATAACTATAAAAAAATAATAATAATATACATCTAAACATTTAGTAAGGTATAATGATTTTTATATTTAATTTCTAAATTTATACTATTACATATTAATTGACAAAATTAAGTTTACACGCGTTTTTATACTAAAAATACATATTAAAACTTTAAAGTTGTATTAATGACTGAATAATGAAGTAAAGCAATATTATAAATTTGAAATAACATAATTATAAGACTAACAATCCAACAAAATATAAAGACCTCATGAAATGTTGAAAATAATTAAAACAAAATTAATTTAATCAATATAACACAATGTTCATAAGCAATGTTTGTATTGGATTTACTCAAAATTAAAAATAAATCATTTAATAATCAACAGTAACATAAAAGTCAAATTGCAGTGGCTCAAATTTTAGAACAAATTTTAAAATGAAAGTAATCAATATTCATGAATATCAAGATATTTAAAAGAATTTAAAATTGTATTCGAGCAAATTATGGTCCAAATATATTTATAACCAAGTGTTTAAATGGTTTTAAATGTATAAAATATAATATTAATTATAATCACCTTAATAAGATTTGCTGTTCTAGCTGAACACGTGAAATTTACTTGTGAATTAAGACTAAATGAAATATGATCAGTTTTTTCGCCAGTTATTTTGAGGCTTTTGGCAAAAAATACTACTGGAAATGGGTAAACCATAGTTGTGTCATGTAAATATATTGAAGTAGTCTTTAGTTTAGTGTGGTATAATAATAAAGGACTAATGTAGTAATTATCAATAGAGTTCACAGATTTTGGATGAATTTCAACTTTTCCATCTTCGGCAGTCACAAATTTTGATAACTTTCGACCGTTTGCTTTAACTTTGGAACTTAAAAAATTAAAAAAGAATTAATTTACATGATTAATTTAAATATAAAATAATACTTACTTGCAAACAGCAATATTGGGACATAAACCAGCAACTAAAACACACTTCAAAAGCTTAACATTGCTTGAGTTTTGGTTATACTCAGGATCTGAATAGTTGGAACTTTTTATAAATCCCAGATCACATAAATACTTGGCATATTGAGACTTTAAATCATGTAACATATTCATAGTATTGTACATCAAACAATTTTCTCTGCAAAATTCCCAAGCCCTGTTTTCTTGTTTAGCTTGTAAAAATTTACTCATTGCTCTAGTGACCATGAGATGATCACTTAGGTGACCTTCATCCATTTCTTTTTTTACATCGCGGCATTGGTATTCCTTATTTGTCTATAAAATTCAAGATTTTAAGTATTAAAATAAAAATAAATAATAATATCGATTTACTCACCGGCATAACAAATGGATCTTTAAAATTTAAACTGGCAGCAATGGTCATTATTGGACTTAAGCAACTAAACATTGTACCTAGAATAATCATTTTGCCTTCAAGAGGACCAATTGGTAATTTTGCTAAATGAAAGCCCAATGGAGTAAGATTTTCTTTTTCATCCAAAGCATTCAGGTCAATTAATAACTAGAAAATAACCAAAATTATTAAAGTAAAAATATAATTAATATAAAATAAATCAAAACATACTTTTAAAGCCACTTCAAGAGCTTTAGTTTCAGGTGGATTCATAACTTTCTCTAAAAATGGAGTAACCATTCCAACTTGTAAAATTTTAGCTTGAAGTATTACTTCTTCTAAACTTGTTCTCATCATCTCAGGTAGTACATAATCATCAAATGAATTTTCACGTCCTTTTGTATACAAATGGTAGCAAATACCAGACCTTACACGGCCTGCTCGACCACGACGTTGTCTTGCATTGGCCAAACTCACCCATTCTTCTTTTAGAGTCCCAATATTATTTTCTGCATCAAATCCTTTTAACTTCATACGGCCATTATTAATAACATAAACTACATCATCTATAGTAACTGAAGTTTCTGCAATGTTTGTAGATAGTATAATCTTACGAACACCTGTAAAACTAATATTATACCAACTTGTATTTAATTAATAAAACCATTTTAGCTTACCTGATGGTGGTGATTCAAAAACAGATTTTTGAGATACAGTTGGTAACATGGAATGCAAAGGAATAAGTATGTAGCGAGCTGAAAAAAAAAAAATGTAAATCAATAAATTACAAAATTGAATTTTTTTCTTTTTTTTATAATTACAAATAAAATTAATGAACTATAAATTTAAAATTTCATGTTAATTGAATAATTCTTTGAAATCAGAGCTTTAAACCAGTGTGAAGTATTAATAATAATTTTGAATATTTTGAATTTTTTTTTTTTTTTTAAATTATACATTTAAAATAAAAACGAAAATAAGAAAAAGGTTTAAAAAGCTAATTCAATTATGAATTTTAATTTGAGAAAAATATATACATTTAGTTATATATTTATGTAAAAAGTACTAAAATTTAACAAATAGTTAAGTCTAATGTACTCAGGTTCAGTAAAAAATTAGTAATAAAGATTTCAAATTTATTAAAACTTAAAATCACACAAGTTTAAATAGTTATTTTTAAACTAATAATTATCAATATTTCAACTAAAAACTTTAACCAATATTCATTCTTTAAGTCTACATGGAAATATAATTATTTAAAAATCAAAATATTTAAAAACCGACATCAAAATTGCTAAAAAAATCTGAATAAATATTTGAGTATCAACTACTACTCATTAAATGTTTAACCCTACTTATTTAACACAGTTAATTTTTTTTTTTTTTTTAATCACAAATTATACATTACATGTATTTCCAAAGCCTTTGTCTTTAAGAATTTTAGTCATTTTAGATATTTGATCCCATCCAGAAAGAAACACAAGTATTGCTCCATCATCTTTATTATTACAAATGTAATTTATAAGTTCTAATATCAATTCATAATCCGTATCTTCAGATGCTGGATTTTCCAACAAATTCAATATTGCAGAATGATATCTTTTAGATCTTCTCAGTTCACTACAAAAAGTTTAGTTATTATTATTTGAAATTATGTTACATGAACATTCAAAAATATTTTCAATAATATACTTACTTAACATAAGGAACTACAAATTCAAGAAATGGATCGCCAGGTTTTAATTTGCGTGGTCTCAAAATTTTTTTAGGAAAATATCTGAACCTGTTTTCAATAAATAATATTTGAAAAACTCGATATAAGAAATTATTAGAAATATAATGTAGTGCTCTTGATTTGATGTGGGTAATACCCGGGTACCCAGAAACCCTCCGGATACCTGTTTATCCGGGTAATACCCGAATTTGTGAGTAGTCAACGTTTTCTGGTAGTAGGTACCCATTATCTAAAATGTTTGGGTACCCGATGGTTTTTGATTTACTTAAACGGTTTAGCTAAGAGGTAATCAGTATTAAATTATACATTACATAATTATTCGAATAAAAAATATTAAATTATTTCCTCTTTTAAATTAATAAAATTACGTTTTAAAAATAAATCTTTAATATTTTATGTGAGCGTTATTAGTGATATTATATTTCAATAATAAGTTTGTTCAAGTCTAATGTCGAATAACATGTTAAAAGCTATTATAAAGCATATATTTAAATCTTACAGATAACGGATATAGTGGCCATATTCGTTACCTTTTATGTGTATATATACGTAGATAATAATGAATAATCACAGTCAGTGACATACATACGGGGGGGAGGAAGCGTTCAAACCCACCCCTAGGGCCAAAAAAAAAGAAGAAATTTGTGATACTATTGGTGACGTGTAATATATTCATAGTTTCATTGTTACGCTTTAAACTTAAAATATACAACTATACAAAAATTATAATAATTGAATAATTATATTGATAGGTGTTTGAAAAGTTTTGTTAACTATGCTGTTTTTATATTCATATAGCTACTAATTTACAGTAATGTAAAAGTAAACAGTAAATTGTTGTAAAGTTGTTTAAAATAATATTTATTTATAGCAGTTATTTATCTGTGCAACAAAAAAAAAAAAAAGATAACAAAATTTATCATGTTTTAGAAAATATATGTACTTACATACAAATCCCAGCTCTAATAATGAGTATACAAACCATAACGGGTACCCGATTCATAACGGGCACCTAATTCGTAAGGGGTACCCGAAATGTTGTAAATCGGGTAGTACCCGTAAAACCCGGATACCCGGGTACCCGGGTATCAAGAGCACTAATACAATGTGCAAACCTATTTAATGAATAAATATCTTCAAGATAGACTTCTTCAACTGGATATGTGAATCCTGGTATGTTCAAAGATGGGCAATCATTGTAGTATTTAGAAAAAGCTGCTGCATTTAATGTTGCACTCATTAGTATAATTTTGATATCTGGTCTCTAAAATATATAAAAAGTTAAAAATATTATTAAAAAAAATAATATAACTAAACTAATTTCTATATGTATATAATTACAACAGGTATGATGCTTTTGAGAATAGTTAATGTGAAATCACTAATAGTATCACGTTCATGTATTTCATCAATAATTATATGAGAATAATAATTCAAAGCGGAATCTCTTTGAATGTGTTGTAGTAGAATTCCAGTGGTACAAAACAAAATAGATCCATATTCGCGTCCCAATTTTCTTAAATATAACAAATTATATAATTTAGCTTGTATTGAATATATTTATAATCACTTTTTATTACCTTTCCAGCCTTATTTGATAACCAACACTTCCTTCTCCTATGCGTTCAGCCCTTTCATCAGCAACACGTTCTGCCACTGATATAGCACTGATTCTTCTTGGTTGGGTACAAACGATTCTACATGTTGAACCACAACCTGACATAATGGCATCATCAAGAATGAATTGTGCCATTTGTGTAGTTTTACCACAACCTATTTGAAATTATTTTAAATAAATTAAACCATTAAAGAAATAATATACCTAATAATATTGTAATAATTATAATTTATAAAAATATTACTTGCCTGTTTCACCACTTATCAAAATAACTTGATTATTTCTAATTAATTCTAAAATTTCATCTTTTTTGCTATAAGATGGTAGTTTTTTTCTAATTGCACACATAGATCTGTACCTTGGATTTTTACTTTTGGCTTCAAGTTCATTTTTCAAAAATGCATTTTTTGTAGGATCATTTTGAAGTTTCTAAAAATAATTTTAAAAAAATTCAAGAATATTGTTTTTTTTTTTTTTTTTTATGTGAATAACCTAGACATACCATATTACTTTGAAGAGAAGCAACAAGATTTTCTTCTATAGACCCAGTTATGTTATCCAAAAATTTTCTTTTGAAATTTGAATCTTCAAGTTTTTTATATCTATCCATTATATACTCTGCATTTTCATCTACATCTTCATCTTTCAAAGTCAGAAGGTTAAGAGCTCTGAAACTTCAAGATTAAAACATATTTAATAAAATGTATAAATCCTTTAATAAGCCATTAGAATTAACTTACTTATGACTATTGTAATCTTTAATATCTACTTTTGAATTTGACATTGTATAAGACTTAGATTTAATGTTTTCATCAGGAATTGGCATTTCTTCTTCTATTTTATTACATTTTTCTTCTATATAATCAATTCCATCAATTCTTAACTTGATGAACTATAAAAAAAAAATTATAATTAAAATTTCAACATTAACAATTTTTTTTTAAAACAAAATTACACATTTTCCTGATTCTTTTTGTTGTTCTTTTTTTTTTGTTTTCTGCCACAATCGATTTTGCTCTTTATGCCAGAGATCTAGTTCACGGCCTTTTAAATGAGAAGGTGGTTTCACTTTAGGTCGAGCCATATCCAGCATTTCTTCATCTTCTCTCATACTTGCTTGTTTACGAGCATGCCATAAGCCTGAAATCAAATATGTATATAATTTGATAAAAATAAATAAAACATACATATATATATATATATATATATTACCAATTTCTCGTCCTTTCAAATGAGGGGGATGAGATTTCGGTCTATCATTCGAATTTGAAGGTCCATAATTGTCTACATGCAAATCATCATCAAAATGATTTTTTTTAGATGACTGTCTAGGTCCTTTATTTTTATCTGAAAGTATACATCAATATAACTTTATTATCATAAAAAAAAATTGAAATTTTTAAAAGATATATTTTGAGTACATAAACAAAGAATTTATGTGAATAAGTGAATAACTATTAAACACATCATGAAATATTTTTAATTTTTAGTGAAAACATAACTCTTTATTGACATCAATAGATTTTCAGTACAAACAGGTTTTTTTAATTTCAACGCGAAAATCTATTCAAAATAACTGACATGATTTTAGGTCACACTAAGCTAAGAATTCAAACTACCATAAATTTACCTTTAGGTCCGGTTTGCTTTGTTAGTCTGAAAGGTTTAACGGGTGGCATGATGCTTCAATGTTGGAGAACTGTACTTGGAAAAAAAATATCTTCAAGATAATTCTCACGAAACTTGAAAACTTTCACTACTCATCAAACAGTAATAATATATTATATCGAATTAAATTCTAAAAGTAATGGTCAAACAAACATAATTTCCTAGGTAATGGAAAATACATTGTTAAAGTGTAAAAAAACAAATTTAAAACAATACAACATGTTATCAACTATTTATTTATAATATTATCATAAATATTACATTTATTATTCGGTCGTTATCGGCATTTACCGGAGCGATCGTCGGCGTTGGTGACGGAGGCGACTATCGATCGTCGTCGGTATGACCACTACACCGGAATGAAAAAAAAAATTGATAAACAGAACGCAACTATTTGACTATTACTCGTTTACCGTGGTTCTGGCGCACGGAAACATAGACATAATATATTATGTCTATGCACGGAAAGCACGAGAAACGCAAATCGCAACAGTTCATTCTCTCCGATCTACTGTGCTCGCGGATATTTATTTTCTCGGCGAAAAGCTATTATAAGCAACACTATCAACTATTAATTGCATGTTGGATACGATAATAATACAAATGATACTATCAACAATGTCACCAAAAACAATAAATTATACAACACAAAAAAAAAAATGTTTCAGCGTCACTAACACTAAAGAATTTTAAAATGAACCAACCGAGTTCATACTACTACATACATACTACTAACTCTTCAAAAATTATTTAGAAAATTATTATTTTTAAAATTTTCTAAATTATTATTTAAAAAATTATTCAAAAATAATTATATTGATAATATTTTATAAAAAAAACTTACTTCAGGACGAATAAATGGTGTAATACTGTTATTTAACTTATATTTGTAGGATAACTATAATCAGTGGTGGTTTTATGGGTGGGGGGTCCAAGAGTCAAATATATTATTTGTTCGATACACTCGAGATTAAAATTGTATGTTATGTTTTTTCGCTTCTATAAGATTTAAATTTTAAGTAATAAATTATTAATGGTTTTAATATATTATAAGATAATATCAAAGGATTACCCCCCTCCAAAAAAAAAAAACATAAAAACCGCCACTGACTATAATGTAACTTGTAATGCAAAATATAAATATATAAATATATGTATAATAGAAGCATTTAAAAATACAATTGCAATAGAGTTTACAATTGACGGCCAACATGTTTAATAATTTTACTGCTGTTTTTATAATGACCATTAAATGATACCCATTGCAATGGTCGATGATAAACAGCCATAAAACTGATTTTTCGATTGCAAATGTCCTACACCGCTACAAGCGGATAAAATAACAACAATTTTATTAACATACACTAGATAATTATTTAATCCTGAAAAGAACTTGGCATACTGAAACATTATTCCCATAAACAAAAATAGATTAATATCAACAGCAAGTTTTTTTTTTAAAATTTGATACTTGTTAATTTGAAAGAATTTGAACTTTACTGTTCTTTTTTCCAGTATGTAATGCTTGAAATTCCTTTTTGGACCTATTTAATGAGTTGGATATTTGAAATCTTAAGAATAGGTTAGTTAAAAATTCTTTAGGAAAATTATCTGATAGATGATAGAAAAAAATTGTATTTAAAATTAATTCTCTTACTTAAGTTGGGTCGAGGAGCTAATTTGATCAATTTGAAAAAATATATTGATAAAAAGTCGTTCGCGGATGTTTTGCCTCCCCCGTTTCGTCCCTGTCTATTGTTAAGATAGGACATTTAGCTCCCAGGTATTATATAGATTTATTTATACACAATTATTTATATTAGATTACTTATTCTTTACAAAAAATATAAAATATCATTATCATTACTATATTTAAATTCAATACAATTTTGTTTTATTTTATCTTCGTAATGATTTTTTCGGGCAAATTTATAATTTCATTTTTTTCGTGGTTAACAATTCTATAATTCACTGACGTATGCACAATTACACTGACAAACTAGTACTGCGTAGTGTGCTCTGTGTAATATATTATTACAGTATCCAGGGCAGGTATAAAATATTATTTAATCTGTACAATACAAATAGGAAAAGTTAATAACATTTTTCCACTGTCTAACAACTAGTCGAGCAATATCATCAGTCGATAAGAAGACCTTCGATTAAGATCAATATCTATCGATATGTCATGGAGATATAAAAGACGTTCGTAAAATTGTTTACTTGTTAGTTTACTTACCTATATTATTTTTTCGAGTTAATTAATTTAGAACGTAATAACCTTACCCAACCAGGGGACAAACGTCCTATGGTTAGGTATAAATAAATCTATATAACTCCCGGGGGCTAAATGTCCTATCTTAGTAATAGACGGGGACGAAAAGTCCATGGACTCGTTTTTTTTTACGGGGACGAAACGGCAGAGGTGAAACGTCTGCGAACTATAAAAAGTAGAATTGAGCATCATTAGATTACCAAAAAAAAATTTTTTTTTTTGAGTGTTAACGGTCTCTAGGACAATCCCAGAATACATCCAGCCTTCCATCCATCTCGATTAGCTGCTCGCATCTTCCAATCATTTCCACCTCCTAGCTCTTCCACATCATTTTTTACTACATCTTCCCATCTCATTCTCGATCTTCCAATGGATCTTTTTCCTGTTAGGTTCTTTTCCAGTACTGTACGGAGTAGTGGGTTTTGGTTTTTCCAAGCGTGTCCTGTCCATTTTAGTCTCTTAGTTCTTATTGTTTCCACGATGTTCGATTTTTGGTATAATGAATCTAATTCTAATAAATGAATCTTTGCTCCATATGTAACAATCGGTCTTATCAAGGTAGTATATAATTGCTTCTTTAATTCTTTTGACAAGGATCCAGCTCCTAACAGATTCGCTAGACTGAAAAAGCATTTGTTTCCAGCCTGGATTCTTACTTCTATCTCTTTTGTTATTTGATTATCTTCTGTTAGAATCGTCCCTAGATACTTGAACTGATCCACTCTATCGAAATTATACTGAACTATCCTTAAGGAGAGGTCTAATCTTGCGTTGTTCTGCCTTCTAACTACTATTTATTTGGTTTTCTTATCGTTGGCGCATAAACCTATTTTTGCTGATGACTTTTCTAGCCGCCTAAATAGTTTTTCTTGTGATTCTGTTACCAGTACCAGGTCATCTGCGTATGCTAATAATCCTATAGTATGACCTTGTAAGTTTACTCCTTCATGCTGTCCCATATTCATTTCCCTTACAACTTTTTCCAATGCAACATTAAATAATATAGGCGATAAAGAGTCTCTTTGTTTTAATCCTATCCGTACTTGTACTTATTCTGATTTTATATTTCCTCTCTTACTTTAACATGCGTTTCCATAATACTTGACTTGATCAGATTTATAAGTATGTGTGGAAAGTGAAACTTTACCAAAGTACTAATTAGACTTTCTCAATGTAAGATATCATATACTTTTTGGAAATCAACAAAAAGTATATGCATTTCCTTATTGAACTCCTATATTTTTTTTAAAAAGGGTCTGACAATGAATATTTGGTCAATTGTCGGTAGACCTAGCCTAAAACCACCTTTATATTCTCCAATTACATTTTCAGATGTCTCTTTCAACCTTGATAGAATGCAGCTAGTAAATATTTTGTATATTCCCCGGTAACTGTTGCAGTCCTTTTTATCTCCCTTCTTATGTATGGGATATATTATCGCCATTTTCCAGTCTTCAGGTATTTCTTCTGTTTCCCATACTTGAGTGATGATTTTCCATATTTTTTGAATCAGTTCCTCTCCTCCATTCATTATCAATTCTGCTACTATCTCGTGCTCTCCAGGTAATTTGTGATTCTTTAAATTTTGTATCTGGTACTTGATTTTCTCTAAAGACGGACTTAGGCATTGTCGATCATTTCTAGTGTTCCGGCTGGGAGGGAAAATTTCACTTGGCTCTTGGCAATTTAAAAGCTTGTCAAAGTAACTTGCCATTTTATGGCCAATTCTTCCTCTGTAGTTATCAATGATCCATCATCGTTTTTTAAAAATCTCTCCTTTTTTTCTGTAGTCTCTTTATTACCAAATAATAAAGAACGTTTTCCTTCATATTATTTAAAATAAGAATATAAAATTTCACTGGATAAGGAAATAGCTTGTGCAAAATTTAAACAATTTGAACATTTATAAACTTTTAATCATTATTCAATTAAATAACCATAAATGTACGTAATAGCATTTTTTTCAGGTAATTTGTTTTTAATTATTAAAATTTCTTATAGGCATGTAATTTGAAAAGGATTTTTTTCTGGAAAAAGTATATTAATTTCACTTATAGGAGTATTTTCAAGACTAAGTAAAACATCTTCTACATTTTGAATAACCTTTAAAGTTCGTTTAAATTGAATGTATGAAGGATCTATGCAATTTCTATTTTTGATTTCTTACGGTTCCAAAAATGTTTTCTAAGCAGTCTTGATTTAACCTATAAGTACACATTGGATCCATTTTAGAATGATTATTACCTACTAGATAAATTATGATAAGGACGTCCGTGAAGTTGGCCCCCCCACTTTGTCTTATCGAATTCAAACCTTCACCAATATTTTGGAACTAATTTGGAACTATTTGGAACCAATTTTTTATAATTTGGAACTTCACCCTTTTCTCGAAATAAGAAATTTTCGGTTGGGGGGGGCCAACTTCACGCAGCCCCCCCACTTTGTCCTATCGACTTCAAACCTTTACCAATATTTTGGAACTAATTTGAAACTATTTGGAACCAAGTTTTCATAATTTGGAACTTCACCCTTTTCCCGTAAAAAAAGTTTTTAGGTTGGAGGGGAATAACTTCTCGCAGCTCCCCCCACTTTGTCCTATCGACTTCAAACCTTCACCAATATTTTGGTACTAATTTGGAACTATTTGGAACCAAGTTTTCATAATTTAGAACTTCACCATTTTCTCGAAATAAGAGATTTTCGGTTGGGGGGTCAACTTCACGCAGCCCCCCCAATTTGTCCTATCGACTTCAAACCTTTACCAATATTTTGGAACTAATTTGAAACTATTTGGAACCAAGTTTTCATAATTTGGAACTTCACCCTTTTCCCGTAAAAAAAGTTTTTAGGTTGGAGGGGAATAACTTCTCGCAGCTCCCCCCACTTTGTCCTATCGACTTCAAACCTTCAC